GGAGGAATGAAAGAAAAAAAATGTGGGGGGGGGGGAGGAGGGGGAGATAAGCCTTACTTGACGGGGAATGAAGATAACTTGGAGTAGAGTCTGAAAAGGAGTGTGGTGTTAAAAGGTGAGGCTTTCCACAGTAGTTCAACAGGGAGAATAAAAAGCACAAATTGCTGGCCTCTCTTCAGTCTTCCCTCCCTTCCCCAGCAGGAAGGAGACGGCAAGGATTTGGCCACGAGAGGGCTCTGTAAGGACAAGAAAGCAATTCACAGGCACCTGGCTCCAGCAGGGCTGGAAGCGCCAGGGGCTGGGCTGCTGCTTTGCTTGTTTCTGTCCGGGGGTAGGATATTTAGACTTGCATTAAGGTACAGCTTTGGAACTGCCTGATGTCTCACCCTGGCAGGGAAGAAGTCTGTTTGTGGCTGTCTTTGAGTGTTTCTCCCAAAATTTTCAGGGACACAGGTATAGGAGGATATAGCACCTGTAGTGCAACCTCAGTACACCAGCACAAAGTAGTACAGCATCTACTTTCAGCATCCCTTAACAACGAAGTGAGAAATGCTACTTCCAGATTTGAGTGAAATTACTTGTTACCTACTGTGCTGGAGCTGGAAAACCCCAAATAAGCGTATAAAATATTAAGAGTGGTTATAGAAGAATTGTTGCTGCTGCTTTCTGTAGCCTGGATTGCACGTGTTCCCTGCTGCCTTTACCTGAAGAGCTGTTATACACTGCACAGAGTAACTGTTAGTGAAGATGAAGATCACCTTCCTCATTGCTGTCTTGCCCTGCACTTTGCCATATTTTATTGAGTTCCTTAAGTGATAGCAGTGAGGAAAAAGGAAGATGCTTGTATTCTAGACAACTAGTTGCAGTCGGGAAAGAGATCGGATATTTTACTCTCTTCACACCAAGAAACAGGTTCTGACAAATTAAATTAATTTATTTTGTACAAATGATAGTGGTGTCACAGTTAATACAGTAGGAAGGATATGTAATTTTATACACCTGTTTTCTTTTAACATTACAAAATGCCCTGAAAAGACAAGGATGGTAACTGCTTTTTTTAAAAGGAGTGTCCTGACACTGATCACATTCTACTCTGAAAACACTTTAATCCTTTAAAACAAACAAACAACAGAACCACCAGTTCCAGTTATGAAGTCTGACATACAGTACAAAATACTAACACCACTTACTTGAAAGGCAGGAAAGATTGGTCAAGTGTCAGTTGACTCATGGAAAGCTTAAAGTGTGCTCTAGTCAGTGCAAATAGAGGAATGTGTCAATTGCTGTAGTATCTGACCACCTGGTTAAATCTGGTGAGTTATCCCTGAGAAAGCAACTTCTCTCTGCAAGTGTCTCGGAGTTTGTTAATTGTTGCCATGGACAAGCTTCCAGGGTCTGTGAATATTTTCTGGGGGCAAAAGGAGAAAATTCTTAGTTAAAATTCTGGCTTTAGACAACATGCTGGAATTCTCACATAATTCTCCAAAGTGTGAAATCCCTGCTTTGATATCCATACTGTGAACACTCACTGCTGTTTGGCCTCCTTGTAACGGGGTAGCATCTCCACCTACTCTGCTGTAAAGACATGGTAAACCTGCAGCTCGTAACAAGTGCTCTAAGTTACACAAAAGCTAGTTTGAATGTAAGTGTCCAGTTAAAATTATTTTAGAAGGCATTTGTGTTGGTGGATGGCAGATGTATTTAGAACATATTAAGCTATCCCGGGTAACGCTACAAAGCACCAGTGCATTTTGAGGAGCTAGCATAGGTTGTTCAGGCTCTGGCACCCATACATGCATACAACAATATGTTCCTACTGCAAAAAATCAGTCTTAGTCCCTTGCTGTGCTGCCTTTGCTCTTCTTTACTGATCTTTCCAGAGTAGCAATGTCTATGGATGTAAGAATTTGAGGCATTTCAAATGCTGTCACACATCTGTAATATTTTTTTGCTTTGACTTTTGTTGCTCAAGAACAATACATTTGTTTTTACTACTTCATCTAAAACTTCTGACTGAACAAAACTATGAAGCAAGCTGCAAGTTTATGCACTTTAACCTACAGTTAAGGTGTGTGGGCCCCTCAGTTCTCTGTAGTTGTAACTGACAACTCTGGAGATCAGATTATAATTGAGCCAGTTTTGAACAGCATTCTGGTAAAAAGTCTGCATTGCATTAAACTAAAAACTAAGATTTTGTTCAGGGGGAGGGGGGCATAAACTACTGAACTGTCATCCCCTCCGCTGCGACCACTATCTGTACTGCTGGGAAAAAAAAACCCCACAAACCCAAAAGTATGTGTTTCAAAGTTATATAAGAACCTAACCTAAATTGTTTAACTGCCTTGAAAGCCCCTCACTACAGTAACCACCACAGTTAAAATAAATGTTTTATTCAGAGTAACTGCAAGAAAAAGGTAGTTGATTTTCTAAAAACAGCTGCTGTAAAATGTAATGTAATTAAAGGGGGAGGGGGGAAGTCCTTCAGGGACAAGCGTTTGTATCAATCTCTGAACTGGTATTCTCGTGGCAGTTAACATTTAACAAAACTCTTATTCTAAACCCTTTATGGAATGGGAAAACCCCTCAAACATCTCCTCTCTAAAATTAAGCTGTACCTGCGATTTATTTTTCCCTTGCTCCTTTAATTAAAAGGCTCACAAACACTAGTAAGTTAAGCTTATTTTTCTTCTATATGAGCAAAGATGAAAACTTAACAGAAATGACATCCTACTATGACAGACCTATGCACAGAGCTCTGACACGAGCACAAAACTCTTTTGGGAGTAAAAGTCACCTATTGGGATGTAGTTTTACACACACTTAGCAAACGATGATAGTGGAGTTGGCCAAGTGATTTATGACAGATGTGCTCCTGGTTTTTTGTTTTTGTTTTTTTTTTTTTAATCAACATCTTTTACATTTCAATCTTCTGAGTTAAGCTCTGAATCTAGTGTTTTATACAGATGGGGCATCCAATCTATTAATAATTTACAAGAATAATTCTGAGTTTGCAGGTTGTCATAAGACTTGAGCACTCAACTTCATGGATTTTGTCTGGAAAAAAGAACTTGGTGCTACCTTTTTGTTCTTTGACTAAACATAATGCTTTATATTCTGGCACTACGAAGATTTATCAATGCAAGTTTAAAATTCACTTTGTGTCTATTCTACAATATTCTATTACAATTCACCTGAAAAAGCACAGGAACACAATGCATAGTTCACTGAAAGAATGCACTAAAGTTATTTTCTCATCAGACTTCCTGGCTTAGCTGGTAAAAAGGGCAGAAAGAATTTTTTCCCCTGTATGACAGATAATGTGAATGACTTACTATGCATGGACTGAGATAGTCATTCTTTTGAAAAATTCTTTAAAAGGTTTGCATTTCTTATATAAAAACATTCTTCCTCCTTTTGGCAATTCCTACAGATACATTTCTCCTAACTGTATCCATCTTTTTGACTGAGCAAAACATTTCTAAGTCAGTCTTGTTTTTAATTTGTAAGAACTAAAAACTGCAGAGAATTTACCTGCATGAAGCTGTGACACTCCGTTACAAATGTTCCTTTGGTGATCTGCTTAAATTTATCACAAATGTCAGGGAAATTCGTGGCTTCCAAAATAAAAGCTTGGTGTTGCTTAATTAACGTTAAGGCCACGCGGAAGATGATCTTTGACCCTTCGTAGAATAAACAATCCCATATTCGGAGCACAGTCTGCAGGAAAGGGGAGAATTCAGATTACAGCTTCTTGATTTGCAGTAGGTAATTATTACTAAAGCACTACAAATGAAATAATGATTATGAGTGTATATTAAGAGAACTTTATGTTACCAATTACCTCTACTGGAAGAATGTCAATGAACAAGCATATAAACCAGCGTGACACCACTAGGGTCCACATGACTCCATGTCTTTCCATCAGCTCTGCCACAGCCGGAACTTTCATTTTCACAAGTTCTCCAAGGACTTCCTGATCAGTTTTCAGGCCCAACATTGCAGGACTGTAATAATCTTGGAGAGAGGAAACCAAAACTCAGGAATCTTTGGATGTGATTTTTCCACAAAATTGAAGAGAACGTCCTGTACAGCTGAGTGTATAAAGGCACGTTGAGCCTATGAATCCCAAGTTGGAGTAAATTAAAACCATGCAGTGAAGAAGTCTGCATTGCGGTCATACAGCACTTCTCTTTCAGCCAAGGCTGATCCCTCTACACAAACGCTTCATTCATGCCTACCAAAGTACCTTCTTTCTCTCTGATGTTTTGTGGCAATTCATTCTTCCTTCCCAAAGAAGGATAATCTAGGTGGTTTTTAACTACTAGCTTAGACTACAAAAGTCTTACTAATATTGAAACAGTTCAATATAACCACCACCTCCTTTCCATGTGTGGGGGCTGCACACCTCCCAGTCTACACAATACCCAGACAGGTAACAAAAAAAACCCCAACAAACCCTCAAAACAACCCATAGCCTTTAGACTGGGTCCAGTCACAAACTGGAAACGTGAATTTCTGAGAGTGTCAGCTGTGCTGGGGTGCTGGAGGCCAGATACCCCTTCTAGGGGTATCCCTAGATACCCCTAGGGGTACCCCTAGATACCTTCTAGGGGTATCTTCTCTTTTCTCTCAGCCACGGAAATCCCACTTTTCATAGAATAATTCCAAAAGGAAGTGAATGGCAGGTTCCCCCCAGGCAACATGTCTTCCTGCTTAATCTATCTGTGAGACAGAGGCTGAAATTAGACCTACATCTCCTACACTGCTGGTCACTGCACTAAACCGTTAAAGCAAAAATTAAGAAAAATGGAGCACACTACGACTGTTACTCCACAGCCTGTTTGACAGGGTAAGCATTTTCATTACCAAGGTGCAGGATGAATAACAAGCATCTCAGTTCTATAAACAAGTAGTTCTGGGTATACTTGCGGGAAGAAAAAGATTATTTTAGTTCATAAGAGTTCAGACAGCCCAACGAGGGACAAGAGTTAGTTAACAGATTTTTAAGGAATTAATATTTTGGGTTTAGATGTTGACCAAAACATTTAAGCTGGATTTGATGGCTCCAGCCCTGGGAAGAAATCATTGATGGTTCACTAGTGCTTTGCTGACAAGACCTACATTATTAACATTATTTACTGAAAGAAATAACTGGTAATACAAGCACCTTCCTATGTGTTTCTTTCCTTCACTGATTCTGGAAAGCTGCAACTCAGGATTCTCTAACTAACTTCTTAGCTGGTTTCTGCCAAGGTTCCCAGATACACACCGCATGGCTGATGGTTCACATGAAGGCGAAGAAATTGGAAAGAGCAGTCCATTTGTCTGAAATAATTTTAATAAAACCTCCCAGTGCCACAAATGTTTAAGATGTCCAAATTATGCAGTACATTTATAACCACTTTAATTTCTCTATTGAAATCACAAAGAGCAGTTTAATATTCCACTCTTTTCTGTGTCAATGGTTTTCTTGAACAGAATTCCCACCCCAGGAGATATTTGCTCTCCATTTGTCCTGTTCAAATGGCAGAACATCTACAGGAGTTTTTATGGTTCTAAGCAGCATCGCAGTCAACCTTTAGGAATCTAGCTTTTCGTCTGTGATCCTTATGTTCTTTGTTCCCATTGAAGAATGATAGGTAAAACTCCTCTATAGACACAAGAGTCACTGCCACCGCACACATTCCTTTAACTGTT